ATCAACTGAACATCCCGGATTTCAGTGGTTTCTCTAACAACGAGGATGATGCTTTCCCAGGATTCGTCTAATCAGCATCATAATATTATACCATCGCGCTATTGCCAAACTCTTTGATGGTAAAATCAACTAACAACTTCCTTTACTTTTCACCAATCTCGATCATTATTAACAGGTAAATATTCATTTTATTCATTTGATATATTATAATGTCATTACTGTTCATACTATCATTGCAACTAATTCATTTAGGCATATTCAATTGACCTGCATTGAATTATTATTTTGCATGCAATGATATGGTAGATTGTAGGGGAGCCGTTCTAGGGGTTGTTTGGGGCATATGGTTCATTTTAGACATTATAGTTTGATGTGATCACCATGATCCATTCACGTTCTGGAATCTGGCCTTGCAACTTGAGATTTGGCCTTCATAAGACCCGCTCCTGTCTCGCAAAAAAAAAATCTAGTTTATTCAAACATAGAGAGTTAATCGAGATCACAAAAGGAAATCAAAATTCTGAGATTTTGAAGTATTTTTCTTTGATATTTTATGCTTGGAAAAGTTCTCTTCATTCTGGATTGAGGAAAATCTTCCAGAGCATTATTTTTTCGATTTTCAGGACTTAGAAAATGTGAATTCTCAAACAATCCTGGAACATAAGAATCTTTGATGATTCAAAACTATCGCCGTATTTCGAAATGTTTCATTAAATTAAATAAAGAAAGTGTCTGGACTTCATTTATTTTTAAATTTCTGGTGGATTTAACATATATAGAGTCTTAAAAGCCTTTACAATTTTTTAAAACTTTTAGTTTTCAACTTTTTGTGCTTTGTAAAATTTGCGATAAATCGGACTCCGTCTCCTAGAACTAGATTTCTTCACCAGTTTATTCAAAATTTTGCACTCCACTAATTCGAAAACTGTCCACCTAAAATGTTGCTAAGACAAATAAATATCACATTGAAAAACATAATACTTAAGTAGATCTTTTGTCGTAAATATTACCCATCGTTATAAATTAAAGTACTTAAAATTCAGTTCAAGTAACCAATTAATTATCATTCGTTTAAATTATGATTATTGAATTCCTGTACCAATCTCATCTGTATATGTATGTTTGAATAAATGTAGTTTTATAATTAGTTTTGTTTTGAAAAGAGCTATCATCAATGATACGATTTCTTGATTTTTCTAATAATTTAAAGCATATGTCTTTAAATTTGTTGAACAAATGTTAAATTTATTCTTTCAATAGCTTTTGAGACTGTTTAGGACATGTAAGTTATTGTCGCGCCTGTACTAAACTGAAGCTCGTGCGTCTGAGTTGAGACTTTCAACTTAAAAATCTACACTGGGATCCAGTGATGGCATGATCAGCAGCAAATTGATATTATTCCGCTCTCATACGCTCTCAATATCACGTGTGATATTGGAGCAAAATATCATGCTTGATATTGATTTCACAAGCTCCTTTAATATTGCGAGACTAATCACAACGTGTAAAGTTGAAGCTGACAGTTGAATCGACGCAAAAATTATTCCGTTGCACCTCGTTTCGTTTTCTAAGAAAGAGAAGGTATAATAATGCTACCTCTTTTTTTCTCTTCACCGATGGCAGACACGAAGCGACTACTGCCGAAACCGTTATGGAACTTTCGGTTGCGTCCGGGTGTAAAGCAAAAATCATTAAACTCAATCTCACTACACTGCCGGTAATCGCAAGTCAGTCCCATCTGCATTTTTATAAATTTTGAGTTAGCATCATTATTCAGTTTATCTTTCTATGTTTTTTGAGATGTGGTATTGAAAAAAGGTGGTTTGTTAAAAAAAAAATGAAAAACAATACCAAGTCAAATTGTCCCACAGCGAAAAGTAACCGCAAGTCAGTCCCATTAGAAAAATATGTTAGAAATGTTAAGCAAACCCCACACGCATCAATATATTGATGCGAAGGGGAATTATTGACAATAATATTGATGATGTGAATTCAGAAATATTGTCAATCTCGATATATTGACGTCAATATAGCATGTATTGACAATACGATTATTGTCAATAAAAGCAATCGTGTAGGGTTCACTTTAGACAACACATCGCATCATGAGATTTGTGTCAAGACAGATTTTGCCCACTTCCCCTATGGTATCTGGAACATGTCCGGATGTGGCCAATATAGTTCTTACGATACTCAGCTTGACCGCCAATCGATATGGGGCTTTGAATTATCGTGTGATATGATGTATCGCTTGATGGATTTTGATTTAAAACGGACTTACCACTTCCCCGGGGATACCCGGAACATGTCCGGGTGTGGCCAACATGGTGCTGGTCACTCATCATGACTCTTATTAATCTTATTCTTGAATTCTCATGTGAATTGATTTATCGCATGGTGGTTTTGGCACGTTTATGAAAAGCTCTGGTCTGATGAAGACCCATACTCACCAGAGTATGTTTCGGCCATTTCTCTGGAACCAGTGGAACAAATCCAGAAACATTCAATGACGTTCTAAAGGACCATGGTATCTTTCTACTGTTCAATACTGTGCTAAACTAATGCAGCATCGTCATGGAATTGTGACTGACTTGCGGTTATTTTTCTCATTCACGTTAAATGTAATCGCAGATCAGTCCCACTCAGATTTTGGCCATAAAATAAAAATTTCACGATATTTTTCCAATATTTTTGGGTAAACATAGATACATTCTATCACATTGTACGTTTATTTTTAAATTTATCCCTTCAACATAAGTGTCAAATCAGAAAACTTGAAAAATCTTTGAACGCCGTTTTCTCATTTCCAGTTTTTTACAGATGGGACTGACTTGCGATTATGGGCAAACAGTTTGGAGAGATTTGCAGCTGGTGAGTTTTGATAGTTTGATATTCCGAGCTGCGATATCACAGCTCAACCTGGTCCGAGATGTTTTTAAGACAGGTGGGCAGGAACTCACGGTCTCCCAGTGTTGGTGAGTTCTTTGCCGTTAATGTTCACGAAAAGTTCACTATTTTGCCATACAGAAATTCAAAACAAAAATTTTTATCTGCGGATTTGGACTGTTTATGACCTATTTCGTACGACCGGAAGGTGTATGCTGGTCACAAATGCCGTGCCAAACTAATCTTTCCTACGCAACTAATCAATCTTTGAAGTGAATTTCGCTAATAAACTCGAGGAGCATTTCTTATAGCAAACTTGCCATAACAAAATGGGCATGGTTCATTTAAGTAAACAAACTAACACTTCTTCCGACTGTGGCACCTCTCTTACTCGCCTGGAACCTGGTCTATACAAGGTGTGGAATTGATGGCCTGTACGTATTGGTGCAGTTCGTTTTTCACTCGGCTTTCAGTCGGCTTCGCACGATTTGCTTCTTTCGTACGCTCAAACACGCTGAGTCTTGATAAATAATAAGCCTAAATTTATTGTATTTTGGCACAATTTTAATATGCGCATTTCGCCCCGTAGTATGTGGAAAAAAAGGTTTCTGTTGATTTTTTTTTTCATGAAGCTTGCTCAAATATCAATTGTAATAGCCCAACATTTGGAATGACTTTACTAAAATGGTAATCTTCCTTATCATGAACTATTAACTCTTATCTCCCATACACTCAAAAAGCTTTACACGATATCAGCAAACATGACTTAAATGAGCGTTGTGGACAGGTTGTCGATTTCAGATACTGCGTCTTTCGCAATAAAGTATAAACGCAATTAGCAAGAAGTGCTCATTTCATGGTTCGTAAAACATTTAAATAAACGTTTAATCTTATACGCAGCGATCAGACTAAATTTGTAAATTGCTTTTTAGAAATTATCTGAAGAGTGCTCGTTCAAACTATTTAATGAAAAATGAACTCATAGAATTGGATAATCCTTCACAAGTTCCAGCTGCATACAGCGAAACTCGAACCATAAACAAACACATCCATCAGTATCCGAGCAAACAAATCAAATTCATTAACGATCCATCAATTCCATCCTTTTATAGTAGTGTGTCATTAATTAATAGACACCAAAGTAATGGCGCTCGATCAACCCTGTATTCAGAGAAGTGCACCACTGACTAAAGGCGCGGATTCGAGCCATGGAATAACTCACTTCTGAAGGGTGTTTTGCTCTAAGTATCGGCAGCCACAGTCAGTCCGATACATGATATCCATAAATCTATATCTATCGCATACACATGTAGGTATGTTTTAGATACTGCACTGCCGGGGAGATGTTTTGATTTTGCTCTCGCACGACTCTCCGTCATCATCGTCGTCGTTATGAGTTTGGTTTGCCATGAAAATGATTATTTTCATTGCGATTTCCAATGAACGACGCAATCACAAGTTGCAGTTGCAGAAATTGATACTCCTGTCGTCGTCGTCTGGTATTTCAGTTATAAATACTGTTTGCTGCAGATGAGTTCCAGCGCAAGACGTGATATTTTTAGATTACAAACAAAAAACTACCATTCGTTTTCCTTAACTACCAAATAAACTAAATATGACAGACAGTTGTAACTTATTTGGATACAAACAAAACTGAAACGGAGTTGAACAAAATAAAACCATTTCCAAACATGGTTGGTTAACCACGGATGAGGTTCGCCGACAGGCATGGGCTAATAAATCAGCTAGCGTATGCGCGCGTACAAGCAAATGCTTTTTGACAGTACCTGACAGTTGAATTAAACGTGACTCCAAGAAACCTACCAGCCTCACTGCGCCTTTCAGTCATTGTAGGTCAGTTGTTCAGACATACCTTAAATAGGGATTATTTACAGAAAACGGAACCCTAGAAGGAGATCCACTCCACAGATCGCTAAAAGACACCTGTTTTACTTACTACATCGCTAACCTAGCTAAACTCTAACGGCTAACACCTAATGGGCCTTTGTTCCAACAATGTCCCAATGTTCATCGCGTCAAATTGATTGAAACCCCGGAAAGATAAAAAACAAACGCAAGAAAAACAAAGAAACCGCTAGGGTTCTTCTACTTACCGCGACGGATCCCTTCGGCTTGGATGCTGCCACGTACGCTAAATACTGTATCACTTTCTTTGTGTTCTCGGTCTTACCAGCACCCGACTCTCCGGTACACAGGATGGACTGATCTTCTCGATCTGCACGTCATTAGGGGAGAGATGAGAAAAAAAAACGATAGAAAATGTTAGCTTAAGTGACAATCAAAGTGAGAGAGAGAGAGAGAGAGAGAGAGGTAGATAGCGGTGGTGAGGATTAGCCAGTCAGAGGAATTTGTCCGTTCCAGTTGGCAGTGCAAGAGCAGATGTGAGGGACGATGACAAATGTATATTTGCTTTGCAAATTCCTAAGTGGGATTGCGAGCGGCCAGCAAAGGGAAATTGTATGATGGACAAATACGTTGGAGGTTTTTCTGGAGGAACGCGCGACAAGTATGCGGAATCTGGTCCGATTTATAGAGCTGTTTACTTGGCGCATACCATGGGGTTGGGTGTGAGCATCTATCATTAATAAATAGTAAATAAGATTTAGCTGTTGGGAAATAAAACAAGAGTACATTTCCATCGAAATTGAACATCGTTGGAATGAATAAACCATCTAAAGGTTATGGAAAAAATGCATACCGTAAAACGGGGTATCTTTGATGATGTGGATAGCTTTGAAAGTAGAATATAATAATTAAATTTACTCTCTGCACTATTTCCAAATTGGAAAAAAATTGGTTCCATTTTGTAGCTTACGGTATTACACTTGATATTTTAAAGTGTTTTTATATAGGGGAAATGAATGTAATGTCGGCGTAAATGTCCCTAACTTGGGCCCATACTTAAATTCAGCAATCGACTAAATTTTCAATAGCAACCAAAAATATCCATTGATACCATCCTAATGACGCGTTCATCTAGATAAAATTGATAATAGCAGATTTTTAGCGATGGGCCCAATCTTAGATTCATAGGCTAACATTAGAGCCATTTCCCCTACTTCAAAAAACTATCTAAGTTACCCCGTTTTACGGTACCAATCTGACGAAATTTTTATTATCAATGTACGAGGTAAAATGTGCAAAATGTTTGGTAAGGTAATTCCACTCAAACTCTTCGATTAGAGTTGAGTAGCAGCTTGATCTTGATTTTGCATGGTAGATATGCATATAAGCGAGAAGACCGGCTACGTGCGATGACTAAACTACTAAAATGATTCATCGGAAAGGCATTTTTACAGGCTTCGCTGTGGCCCGAATCACATATCGTGCGCCAGACTTGCCGTGTTTCCCATGATGTTGATGATGGCTGCCTGCGTTCCCTGCAGACTGACGCAATTAAAATTATAAATGCTAACCGTAAAGGAGCAGTACGAAAGTGAATTTTTTTTTTCAACTAGATAGTTCTCAGCAGCAGAATCGAGATGAATCAAATTACATATTGAAGGAGAATACCTAACAGTTTGCTTTCGTTTTGTTATGCAACAGAACCACTGCGTTTGAAAGTAAAGTTAACCTTTGACCTTGAGGTTGATTGGCCGCCCGTAGTTGCTAATCCGTTTTGGCCAGATTAGTTGTGCTTGCATAGAGGACTAATCAAGATGGCTACATACACGGCCGATGAGAGCCACTTCTTCTCAGATGAAAGAGAAATTACGAAAATTTGTTTTTCTAATTAATATCTCTTTCTTCTGACTAGAACTGACTCTCCCTCTCTCTCTGAGTTAGTCTCATCGGCCGTGTAAAAGCCTAAAGTATATTTCCATGGAGGTGGTCATCCAAAGGAAAGACGAGCAAGGAGATGAAAAACTACCTAAAATTAAGTACTTTTTCCTCAATTCACGGGTTTAGCCCGATAACCCAAATTTGAGTAAATCGCATATAGTAGATTCCTTTTAACACCAGCAAAAAAATTACTTACTCTTAAGTGAATTCTGCCCAAAATTATGTTTATTTTACGTAAATTTAAGAATATGCAATTTACTCAAAAATAACTTATTGGGCTGAACTAAATCGTTGGGTCGAATCTCCCATTCCTTTTTTTATAACAATAACGAGTGCAAGCGAGAGGCTCAACTCAAAATTAAGTAAAAACAACGCAAATTTTGGGTAGCATTTTTTCTCCGTGAAGGAAATGATTAACCAAAAATTGACTTTTTGAACCCCGTTTCTTCATCTACGAGTCACAGAAGTTCAGTCAACTTGGTCATAGGAAGACGTTTAGTTCAAAATAAGAAGCTCAAATTCATTTTAAGTCGGATTATCTTCAAACTTCCAGGGAATAAACTACAATATCATGGTAAGGTTTCTATTTCATTCCTTTATTGGATCTCCGCTCCATAACCGAATGCCCGCACCTTGCCCTTGACACCACTGATAAGGTTTTGGGCAATGGTGGGGCCGACTTCTTTCCATACTTTTACCCACCGTTTCTTCAAAGCCAGCTCGTTCTCCAACACCTTAGATGTTTTACGAAATCTGGTCTTCATGATGGCCCAAAACTTCTCAATCGGGTTGACGTCTTTTGGTACAAAAACAACATTGTTGTTTCTGTACCAGGCTAACACCAGCCACGCGTAGTGGCAGGATGCCAAATCCTGCCAAAACAGCGTCTCGTCTCCGTAAGAGGCGCTTCTGGAGGCACTCGTCCCGGTAGATTTTCCCGTTGATGGTACCCATGGCTGGCTCATCTTGCCGCACCCACAGATGGCTTGCCAAACCAAGAACTTTTTGGCGGATTTGTCCAACTTCTTCTTCCTTACCTCCTCAGGAACGGCCAAGAGTGATGTAGCAACGTAAAACTCCTGCCCCGGCAACTGATTTGTGTACGCCGGTACGGTGCCTTCCGTGGATGCCAGCACCAGCGTTGCCAGATATACCGATTTATCAATAAGGTTTCTCAGAATACCGATTTTTGAGATTTTATACCGATTTATACCGATATTTTTAAATAATCAAAATGTGTATTGCCTACCCACGCTTAACTGTCAGAAGAAACTATTATGAGAGACTTTAATCCGTTTGAACATCTTCCGTTTTCTCACATCAGTTTTTTATTCAACTTCCCCGGAACTTCAGGGATGTTTCCAGAGCTTTATTTCAGTTCCATTAGTTTTAGGAAATCTACAGGAACTTTTAATAAGTTCTGAAACTTCTGAAATGTCTAGATTTTTGGATTACTTTAAAGATCTGTATGGGTAGGTTTCTATAAATTAAAGACAGTTACATTAATTTCAAAACTGTCCAGGGAACTTCAGTTAACTTAAGGAAACATCATAAATATTTTGGAAACTTCACAAGTCAAAAAAAAACTTCAGGGAAATAGAATAGTTTTCATGACAGTTCCATTCGTTCCATCAGTTCAGTTCAAGTATATTACTGAAACTTTAAAGTACTTCCGAGAAACTCATGGAATTTCCGAAACCTTAAGCAAAGTTCAGGTTCATGAAAATTTTGGAAACGAAAGGTAAGTTACATGTGTTATTATAAAATGGAGAAAACAATTTAAGGAAGATCCGTGTTTGTAATGGCAGTTTGAAGATCTTTTCAAAATTTAAAATAATCTGGAAGATCAGAGAATTTCAATGCTGATGTTCCATTAATGTCATGAAAATTGTGATAGCACTTAAGAACTCAAGCAGCGCAACACTGTTGAAGAAAGTCCCATAAAAATTGCCTGAAGTGTGCTGCTAGGGAAGTTCCGAAATCTTCACGAAAGTCCAGAGACCTTCAAAGAAAATTTGATATTTTCCCGTAGTTTCATTGAAGCTACGAATACTTTGAGAATGATTAGAGTACTTCTAAACAATTCCATTCACTTCAGGAAAGTTGCAAGAATTTTCAAGAAGTTGCGAAGAATTATGGGAGTGCATTTCAGGAATCTTTCGAAAACTTCAGCGACATTGCGAGGTCTTCAGGGTTATTTTATGAATATCAGAAAAAAAAAAACTGCTGGTTCATTAGAACATGTACGAGACTTCAGGGAGTGTTGTGCTAATATCCCCCAGAAATCTATATCTTCCGGAATGTTCCCCCAACTTCTCCTTTAAGTTTCTTACGACTGTTCCGTAAGCCCTCTGGCATCCGACTTACTCCAAAAGTTTCTTCCAATCTACCTTCCAGCATCTCCAGGAAGTTTCTTCCGTTTTCTCTATCGAATTCTCCCAGAAGTTTCTGTCGTTTTCCTCTGGAAGTTTCTCCATAAGCCATTCTCTGTTGCTTTTTTTCCGACACCTATTGGAAGGTTTATCCGAGCATCTTCTCTCATCCCCTGGAAATAACTACTCCTGGCATTTGGTTTGGATTTCCCAAGCTTTTCTGGATTCATCTGTTTTTTTTTTTTCGACTGGTTCGTTAATTTTTTTCAATAACCGTCCTGGAAGTTCACCGGATGTGTTTCCGACTTTTCACAGAACTTTCTTCAAACTTCCTCCAGAAAAGCTTCTTTATTTTTTCATTGGAAGTTTTATCGACTTCGATCAGAAGTTAATTTAAAGAATCCCCGGACATCTTATGGAGAGAAAATTTTCCGTTCTTAGCCCAAAAGTTTGAACTTCATCGGCATGAACATAACATTTATTAAAATAGTAAATACCGATAAATACAGATTTTTTAAACATTTGATACCGATAAGCATGAAAACAATCTGGCAACGCTGGCCAGGACGATCAGCTGTCTTCGGTTCTCTGTCGCAGCCTGCCCGCCGCTAGGTCATCTGGGTCTCCTTGAATGACTTCACCACCCGGGAAATCGTCGAATGATGATGATCCATCTGTGAGACGCAGTCGGATTTTCCACGACGGCGCACAAGATTTTTTGACGGATATGCTCTTGCTCCGATGTCATCTCGATAACCACTTGACAGATTGTGACGAAATTCTGCAGTGTAAACATTACACTCTTAGCTAGTTTCAGTCAAAATTTCGCCAAACTAATCAATGTGTCTCACATTTTTCGAGTACAGTCTTCATTCAAGCAGGCAAACTTCTCCCAAGTGTATGTTTAAAAACATTCGTTTTTCCGTAAGTAATAAAACCCATGTTTTGACACTTTCAACCCACTTTTCGAAGGCATCGTACGGTTCAGTGAAGAGTGGGCAGATTATGCTAGAATATTATTTTCCGGTGAGAATTATTAGAAATGAAATCAAAAGTACGG